GAGGGAAAAAGGGAGGAAGAGAGAGAGAAACATCAATGTGAGAGACACACATCAACTGGTCACCAACCGCACAACCCCAACTGGGGCCGGGGACAAACCGCAATGAGGTACATGCCCTTAGCGGGAACCAAACCTAGGACTCTCTGGTCCGTTGGCCGATGCTCTAACCACTGAGCAAAACTGGCCCGGGCTATTTTCCATTCTTTATGGACTATCTTAGAAAATTAAGAAGCCTTGCTGCTTCCACAACATTTTTAAGTTGTGAGCTACACAAAAGGCATAGCCAATATCAGAGTAAATATTAGCTGTTTGATCTTTGGCCAATTGAAAAGCCTGAGTTAGAACAATTAGGCTTGTCAGGTAGATTTTATTTAGGTAAATAAGAACTTTTAATTATGTCCACTATGGAAGTTATGCATATTCAGCCCAGTATTATTTCTGTTTATCCTTTCAAGATTCATCTGTAAACTAAATTAAGTCAGTATTATTAAAGAGTTTCCTATAAACCATTCCTAGGAATAAGGTGGTTAGTAAGCAGAATGCAATTGTGGATGTCTGTAACCTGCAAAGAAAGTAGCAAAATTGCTGGGTTAAAACTGTTTTATGGAGTTTAAGTAAAATTAGATGCAGAAGGCAAGAGCCAGTTGGATGATAGAAGTGTTAACGTGATGAGAACTCAGTGGAGATTTAAGAGCACATAACTATCTTTTTGTTTGGAGCGGAGCTGGGAATTTCAGCTCTAACAACTTTCCCTATTCTGCATCCTCCTTATGTAGTAAAGGGAAGTTCTGCCTGTGGTCTCCTGTGGCCCTTAGATTCTCCCTGGCCCACTCTAGGCACAATTTTCTGAAGGGATCTATGAGAGTAGGACCTTATCTCTCCTCCCTCCTCGAGGGCTCCTGTCCATGCAAACAGTGGGGATATGGAGAAGCAGTGCTGGGACCTTGCAGTAGTCACACTGAGGGGCCCTATGAAGCAATGTGAACAACGGGGAATCAGCAGACATTGTTTTAGCGGAGGGCAATAGGGAAACAGCAGATACTACTGGGATTTAATGAAGGAGTCATACATACTGTTGTTGGTGGGTAATATGTACAAACAGCCAATATACTAATTGTTTATTGGGGGGGGGGGTAGTGGAAACTCCAAAGTGCACACAGCCATCACCCTGACTTGGGTGGAGGGAAGCAGGTTAATAATATACACCAGTGTTCAGAGAGGGATTGGGGATATCACCACAAGCTATGTTGGGGATGGTTATGGATACTGTTAGGTGGGCCATTGGAAGATAATTGGTCACTGTCATTGTGATGGACAAGTAATAAGGGGGACACAAGAGCCATCCTGCTAGAGGTGTAACAAAATTATCAGAACATGATATTAATACTTGGATTAGGTGGAGTATACCACAGTTCCCATTCTGAGGTTTGTAGGAAGTGGTCCTCAGTCACTCCTTAGGTAAAAGTGGGAATAAATGGGGAATATGGAGGATACCAGACTTTGTAACAGAGGGTGAAGTTACAGACATTATGATAGAGGTAATTGTGAGAGAGGTAATGAGATCTCCAAACACAATTTCCTAGAATTAATGAGAGGTGACAAATAGAATACTAGAGTAAGGTAAAATGGGGAATAATGGAGGGTGTCAAGACATTTGCTGGGGTGGGTTAAGAAGGGGATGATGGGGAGATCTCCACTCTTCTGAGTGATCAGCATTGTCTTAAGTTGGGGAATAATGGTGGGTCACAAGACTTTGAGTGAAACCCCAGATAGAGTGCTGGATAAAGTAAAAGAAGGTAATAGAGGGTCACCATACACTGTTCTAAGATAGGGAAGAGTGTATGTGGATCATCAGATACTGTAAAGGGGTGAGATGAAGGAGAGACAATGATGGATCAGGTATTGATCTAAGGTGGGGGAGATGGGATGTGTCATTAAGTAGTGCCCAATTTGGATGAAAGGGGCAACCCTATCTGTGCCCTTGACCAGGTTCTGCCCCCAACCTCAATCCCCATGCTGCTGTTCACAAAGGGGAGTAGTATCTCTGCACAACCTATTTCCCACTCCCAGCATTGCCAATGGAATGACCTGGAGAAACTATTCTGCTGGTTCCAATTTGCCCATCCAGTAGCTAAGTGCTCAATCAGACCCTGTCTGCATCTGTGAGGCCGTGTTGCCCATCTCCGGTTACACACCTAACCTCTGGGAAAGGTCTGTACCCATCTGCACTCAGCCCCTCCATACTGTTAGCTTTGGGCATACTTGTCAGGGCACAATGAGCAGGTCTGTGGTCATGTTCTGGAGTAGACAACACCCTGCTGAGGTACAACTGGAGTGGGACAGGGCATGCTGAGGCAGAGTGAGTGATTTCATTTGCAATCACTTTGGAACTGACTGTGGTACAGTGGAACCTTGGTTATTGAACTTAATTCATTCCAGAAGGCTGTTCGAAAACCAAAGCATTTCTTCCCATTAGAAATTATGTAAATTGAATTAATCCATTCCAGACCCCCTTTCTCATTATATGCAGTACGTGTAATGTACTGTTTGGTCTGGAAATACTTAAAAAGGACATGAAAAGTAAATGAAAATTTAACAAAAAGGAAATGAAACATAAGTAAAAAAACAAAAATTTAATAAGCAGTAAAAAACAAACAAAAAACACGAAAATATTCACAGCACAATATCCTGAGATGTTGTATCCTGACTCATACTCACACATTCTCTCCTTTGTTTGTTGCCTGAGAGGAGCATGACTGATCATACAGGTATCAGCAGGAAAGGGTTATTGGGTGAGAAGAAAATTGTTCGAGATGGGAGATGTTTGAAAACTTAAGTTTCACTGTATATTGAAATCATGGTAGGGAGTCCTGGAATACCAAACATCTATATGAAATTTCCTGTGCCTCAGTTCTCCATTCTTTAAACAGATTGATAGCAGGCCAAAAGGGTTTTTTTTTTTAAAGGATGAAATTAAGAACTACTTTTATTTTATTTGTTTTATCCTCACCCGAGGGCATTTTTCCATTTTTTGTTCAGGTAGAGTGGGAGGGAGAGAGAGAGTGAGAGAAACGTCGATGTGAAAGGGACACATCAAGTGGCTGCCACCCGCACGACCATTCAGGACATCAGGACTGGGGACAAACTGTAACCAAGGTATGTGCCCTTAGCAGGAACTGAACCCAGGTCTCTTGGGACCGTAGGCTGATGCTCTAACCACTGAGCCAAACCAGCCAGGGCAGGCCAAAAGGTTTTTAATGATGTTACAGCTTTAGGGCCAGAAAGGAGCCACTACCCAGGTCAAGACTGGAGGTGAAAAGCCTGGTGTGTTTTGGGCAAGTGTGTTTTCTCCACTGGAGCATCATAGGCTACCATATAGAGAAAATAAAAAAGAAGTCATGGGATGAGAAGGATCAACACTCCACAGTGTGTATTTATGGAATGAATGCCTGTTGTATGTCAGGCATAGGTCTAGACTTTAGACTCACAGTGGTGAACAGGAAAAAAAACACTCTAGTGTGGGAACCATGGACAAATAAATGAAATATACAGATCATGGCAATAAATGCTATAGAGAAGGATAAAGGAAGAGGTGGGGCCGGGGGTGTGAAATTTTAAACCAGGCAGGTAGGGAAGGCCTCTGTGAAGAGGTGCCATTGAAAGAAAGACATAAAGGAGCAAGTCAAATAGATATAATAAGGAACTATGCTCTTCGAAGAGGGCACTGCAAATGCAGGACATTAGCTGATGTGTTTGAGACACATGGGAGAAAAGGTCTTTGTGGAGTACATGGCATGGAAATGGACAAGAAGATTGGGATTTGTTTTCATACATTCATTTGTTATTATCATGAATATCAGGTCATTAAAGAAGGTGAATGAGCTGGAAGAACTGTGACAGTAAAAGGGAGACTCAGGTGAAGAGCTGATGGAGACCTGAAAATTTTTACCTCAGCTTTCTTCAGGGTAGTGCAAATTCACAAGACAATATACTGTGAGCTAAATAAGGGTCAGTAAATACTCTCTGGGAGAAATGGCAGTCAACAGACATGGTGTTTACCACTAATGCAATTATGGGGGGTCACATAATAATGTGCTGGGGATTCCTGAGGGTCAAAGACACTTCACTAGTGACTATAAGATGCTGGTGTTACAAGTCATGACCCTAGAGGATAATGGGGAATCAACATATACGCTGAGGTTTGTCTCTCTCTCTCTCTCTCCATATATATATATGTTTTTCTTTTCTTTTCTTTTCTTTATTGATTTGAGAGAGAGAGGAAGGGAGAGGGAGAGAGAGATAGAAACATCGATTGGCCGACTCCTGCATGTCCCCTGATGGGGATCCAGCCCATAACCTGGGCATGTGTCCTGACCGGGAATCGAACCAGTGACCTCTTGGTGCATGGGTCCATGCTCAACCACTGAGCCACACTGGCCAGAGTATATATAAGGTTTTTAAAAAATTTTTTATTGTGGTATCTCTTGATAGAAATACTCAGTGGAGGATTGGGTATGCAGAACCATCTTAGATTCAACAGAATGATAAAAATACCCAAAGTCTGTTAGACAATATGTTTCGCAACACACATCTCACAGAACTTAAAGGTTTGTCATGATGGTATATATTATGTTGTTCTGAAACCACTTAACTTGTTGGCACATAACCTATTCCAGATTTTTTAAAAAATCATTTATAACAAGATTTAACATAATCTTTCCTATGCACCATTTGGAAACAGTGTTCCATAATTTTCATGAGAAGGCCTCTTATCAAATTGAAAAAGTTCCTTTTCAGTATGAATGCTCCAAAGCTTAATGAGGCTGGTGACAATTGTGGGAAGGACCCCCTTAGGGCCCTCTCTAAGTTCCTCTTCTGTACAGTAATGTGACATTTTGATGCAGCATTTGTACTTATAATAATGTACATATTTTTTCTGCTGCATGAATTCAGTAATGCACAGTCAGACCTCATCTTATTAAGGTTCTCACATGGTACTCTCACGTGTGAATACTCTGATGCACACTGAGCACTGATTTCTGAATGAAACCTTTACCACAAACTACACATTTGTAGGGTTTGTCTCCAGTATGTGTTGTCTGGTGTTTATTCAAATTTGACCTGTCAGTAAAGGCCTTCCCACACTCAGAACACACATAAGGTTTCTCTCCTGTGTGAATTCGCTGATGCACTTGAAGTTGTGATTTCTTTGTAAAAGATTTGTCACAGCCACTGCATTCATAAGGTCTCTCTCCAGTATGAATTCTATAATGTATAATCAACTCTGACTTCTGTCTGAATGTCTTCCCACATTCAGAACAGATGTAGGGCTTTTCTCCAGTATGAGTTTTCTGGTGGTTACTGAGATTTGACCTGCCACTAAAAGCTTTACCACACACAACACACACATATGGTTTTTTTTCCTGTGTGAATTGGTTCGTGCACCAGGACCTGAGATTTGGAGGTAAAGAATTTCCCACAATCACTGCATTCATAAGGTTTCTCTCCAGTATGAAGTCTATGATGAGTAATAGTTTGACTTCCAAACGAAAGCTCTTCCACATTCAGTACATACATAAGGTTTTTCTCCTGTATGAATTTTCTGATGCACAGTGAGTATTGATTTCTGGCTAAAGGCTTTCCCACATTCATGGCATTCATACTGTCTCTCTCCAGTATGAATTTTCTGGTATATATTAATGTGTGACTTCTGGGTGAAGGCTTTTCCACAGGTACTGCATCCATAAGGTTTCTCTCCGGTATGAATTCTCTGATGTGTAATCAAGTCTGATCTTTGTGTGAAGGCCTTTCCACACTTGGGACATATATGGGATTTCTCTCCTGTATGAGTTTTCTGATGTGTGATAAGATTTGACCTGTTGGTGAATGCCTTCTGACATTTAGTGCACATATAGGGTTTTTCTCCGGTGTGAATTTGTTTATGCATGTGGAGCTGTGATTTGAAAGTAAATGATTTCCCACAGTGACATTTATAAGGTTTCTCTCTTGTATGAATTATCTGATGTGCAATCAAGTGTGCCTTCTGGATGAAGGCTAGCCCACATTTCATGCATAAATATTATTTTTCTCCTGTATGAATTCTCTGATGCATTTTGAGTGCTGACTTCTGAGTGAAGGCTTTTCCAGAGTCACTGCATTCATAAGGTTTTTCTCCAGTGTGAATTCTTTGATGTATAATCAACTCTGATCTGTAGGTAAAGGTCTTACCACATTCAGTACATATGGAAGATTTTTCTCTACTTTGAACTTTCTTATGTGTGATGAGATTGGAACTATTATTAAAGACCTTCCTATATTCAGTACATATAAAGGGTTTCATTCTTGTGTGAATTTGTTGATGCACCTGGAGATGTGACTTGGAAATAAAGGTCTTCCCACAATTACTGCATTAATATGTTTTTCTCCCATATGAATTCTTTGGTGTGCAATCAAGTGTGTCTTCTGGATGAAGGCCTGTCCACATTCAATACATATATAGGATCTCTCACCTGTGTGAATTTTCTGATGCATCTTGAGTGTGGACCTCTGTGTGAATGCTTTGCTACAATCACTGCATTCATGGTGTCTCTCCTCAGTATGAATTTTCTGATGTACAATGAGATCTGAGTTGTAAGAGAAGCCTTTCCCTCATTCACGGCACTCGTAGAATTTTTTTCCCATATGAATTATCTGATGTCTGAAGAGAGAAGATACTTGGAAAAAGGCTTTTCCACATTCACTGCACTTATAGGGTTTCTCCTGGGTATGGGTTCTCTGATGTGTAATGAATTGTCTCCTGTATAAAAGCCTTCCCACAGTCAATACATACATAGCGTTTTTCTCCTGCATGAACTTTCAATTGTAACTTGAGTTGTAACTTCTGTGCAAAGATCTTTCCAAATTTAGTATATTTGAAAGATTTCTATACAGTATGAAATTTTTGATGTTGAGAGGGTGCTTGTTTATAGCTGAGAACTTTTTCACATTGATTATGGTCCCATAATTTCTCTCCTGTAGGAGTATATTCATGGTCAGTATAGAAAAAAATATATTTGGTAATCTTATTAATGCTCTTTGATACACTGTTTCTATTATGAATATATAAATCTAAATTATGCTTCAAAGCATTTCCAAATGATTCACACTAAAGGGGTCTTTTTGGGGAAGGACTGTTTCGGCTCACATGAATTATTTTCCTAATGTCCTTATATTCATAATTTATCTTTGTAGTCAATATTTTCTTGCTGAAAACACCATCTCTTAAAGATTTGTTTCCTCTTTGCTGATAGCTTTCTTTTTGGTCAACAATATGCCACAATTCTTCTAAAATAAAATACAACATAAAATCACTTGTGGAATCACCTCCTCTCTCAATGTAGAAAAAGCTTTTTCAGAAATTCTATGCTATAAAGTTCGAAACCCAGACTCTCCTCAAAGGAGAATAAAGGGATGATTGCAGCTCAAGGAGCAGCCAGCAGAAGCTAGAAAAGAGGGTCATTTGGCTCATCCAGGTTACACAGAGAGAAGGGTGAAGGTGAATCACTGGATGAAGAGGCTTGTGGTAGGCAACATTCTGGGATATAATACAGCAGCTAGAGGAAATACACTTTATGAACAGAGTGCACCATGGACAGAAGTAGAAAAAGTAAGGCAAAGAACAAGATAGCATAATAACATTTATATAAAATAATACATACACCAAATTACTTTAAATTTTTTAAAATGCATGAATGAAAAAAATATATTTCCATCGTATAAAAAATAGCCTATGGTGGGAAGTGAGAGTGTGGGAAAAAGAAAAAAAAAAAGGACATAAATGGAAAAATAAAATAACAGAGAATCTTTACTCAGACTGATGATGATAGTGTGTCCTAAATGAGGACTGTGATTAAACTCAAATATTGTAATGTGAATTACAGAAATAAAATAATCACAAAAATCATCCAGCCAGGCAGAGACACCCCAGTCAGTGTGAAGTCATTCAAGCAACACTGAAAAAAATGTCAGAAAGTTACTCCTAAAGATTAAGTAATAGTGAACCCTGAGCCATCAGTTAGATATTAAGATATGGTCAATGGGGAAGTGAGAAATCCCATGGCAGTGCCTATAAGGAAAATAGGAAGAGAATCTGGTTGGAGATAAAGTTCTAAAGAATCTCACAGTGGCCCTGGCTGGTTTGGTTTAGTGGTTGGAGCGTTGGCCTGAGGACCAGAGAGTTCCAGATTCGGTTCCTGCTAGGGGCACGTACCAAAAAAGAAAAAAAAAAAAAGAACCTCACAGTGAAAAAGCATGCAATAAAAAAGAGAAAGAAAGAAAGAAAGAAAGAAAGAAAGAAAGAAAGAAAGAAAGAAAGAAAGAGAGTACTAGCAGGAGTGGGAGTGACATACAGTAATTTTCAAAGAAGGCAGATCCATAAATGTCTGAATGCATAAAAAAAATCTTAAGACAATGGGGAAGGTAGAAAGAAAAAGAATGGTAGAGAAAAGGAGCATAACCAAGAAAAAAGGAAAATAATTAGGCAGATTGGTACATGATACAAAATCCAAAAAACAAGGATTAAGACAGAAATAACAAAGGCATTTATGTAGAAAGCATTTAGTTATTTGAGAGGCCAATGTCAAGGGTCCTCAAGTAATACAAAAACTTTAGAAGCTTCCAGAAGAGTCATCTTAATAGCATTTTGAAAACGCCAATCTTTCTCAAAACAACTGAGATTTACTCCCGTCTCCCATCTGAGTCACACTGACCTGAATAGTTCTGATATGAGCTCACCTCCTTTCCTTGCTCCAGTATGAAAAACTCTGGTTCAGGAACTTGATACCCTGTTCACGAGAAATGATAAAGGACTGGGTCCAGCTAACTTTATTTCACAGCCCAATCAATAAAGTATTGTTGAATGATGTTTTGTTCTTCAAAAAAAATATTTCTGGGAACAGAATAATATTCAAAGTGCCTTAAAGGGATAAATAATCCTGGACAAATAAAGGATAAAAACCAGCACGTATTTCTTTTTATTTATTTTTTAATCCTCACCTGAGTATATTTTTCTATTTATCTTCAGATAGAGTGGGAGGGGGATGGAGAGGGAGAAACATCAATGTGGGAGAGACACATCAACTGGTTGCCTCCCGCATGACCTTGACCAGGGCCATGGACAAACCGAAACAAAGGTATGTGCCCTTGGCTGGAATCAAACTGGGACTCATTGGTCCATGAGCTAACGCTGGGCCAAACCGGCCAGGGCACCATCATGTGTTTCAGATGTCTCATAGCACTTAGCAAATGAGAATGGAAGCACTCTCAGTGGGGCCTTCCCTCAGGTCTGTGCTTACCAGCTGAGAGCAGATAGCTGTAGGTCTTCAGCATCACATCCCAGTACAAATTTTTCTGAGCAAGGTCTAGATGCTGCCACTCCTCTCTGCTGAAATCTACAGCCACATCCCCAAAGGACACTGATCCCTGTAAGAGCACATTCCTTTTCAATGTGAAGTTAGCTTTGAAGGATGGAGAGACTATATTCAGAAACATGGAACTTGGATTTTGTTAATTTATCTCATCTTTTTAAAAATTCACCACCACCCCCAGTTCCCTAACATTTTATTATAAAGATTTACAAACATACAAAAAATTTTACATAGATATATAGTAAAAACCTATATACTCACCACTTAGGATCTATCATTAAAATTTTACTATTTTATCCTATATTCCTTTTATCTATCCATCAATCCACCTTTTTTGTGTGCATTTCAAAATAAACTGTATACCAGTACATTTCCTCCTTCATAGTTCAGAATGCAAATCACTGCAATATATTATTTACCTTTTTTTGTTGCTGTTGTTACTTCTCACCCGAGGATATTTTCCCACTGATTTTCAGATAGAGTAGGAGAGAAGAGAGAGAAACATTGATGCAACAGAGACACATTGATTGGTTGCCTCCTGCACGATCCCCACCAGGGCTGGGGATTAAACCTATAACCCAGGTAAATGCCCTTGACCAGGAATTAAAGCTGCGACCCTTTGCTCATAGGGCCCATGCTCCAACTGCTGAGCCAAACCAGTCAAGCTGTTTACCCTTTTAAAGTAAGATTTACATATAATAAAATGCACAAATCTTCCGTGCACCATTTAAAATTTTGACAAATGCATACACCTGCATAATCCAGAAACTTTAAAAAAATGTTTTTTAGCCCTGGCTGGTTTGGCTCAGCAGTTAGAACGTTGGCCTGCGGTCCAGAGAGACCCAGGTTTGGTTCCCGCTAAGGGCACGTGCCTTGGTTGCAGTTTGTCCCTGGCCCTTGTTGGGTCCTGCAGGAGGCAGCCACTTGATGTGTCCCTTTCACGTCAATGTTTCTCTCTCTCTCTCTCTCCTGCACTCTGAACAAAAAATGGAAAAATGTCCTCTGGTGAGGATTAAAAAAAATAGAAAGAAAATACGAGCCCTAAACCAACAGAACGTGTGGGATCCATAGCCATATGTAAGGAACAGAGACATGATTTTATTTTATTTTTTATTAATTAATTAATTTTTGTTACAGGTGTTTCTCCTTTTTCCTCCACTGATTTCCCCTTGCTTCCTGACAGAGAGTAACAGCCTCCCCTTCCCCGCCCCGCACAGTTGAACAGTAGCGCTGGCTGGGAGAGACCATTGCCAAACAACCCAACAGAATAAAAAAGTTCACAGGATCCCTCCCCATCTCCCTTGTCAATAAAAGCCTTTCCCTCAAGCCCGTTGGGGAGCAGACCCATTCCTCTTTTCTGTCTGGGTGTAGGCTCCCTTGTGCACAAGCTTAATAAAGCCTTTCCCTGAACTTTTTTTCTGTCGATCTCTCTTGATTTTTATCTTGGGAGAGCACAAGAACCCAGGTCACAGGTTACACCCCAGTATCACTGTTTTCCAGGTGAAGAAAGTGAGGTGACTCTTCCAGTTTTACCTATGGCCTTACACACACTATGGCTATCTTCGGAGTCACCACTCCCACTCCCAATACACACATTGCTTGACGCTCCAGACAACCCGCTCCCTTCAGCTCCATTCTGGGCTCCGGATTACTCTCCGTGGTGCAGTTTGGATCTGAGACTTGGAGGTTTCCGCTCTCCCTGGGCCAAGATGGCGATTTAGTCAGTCCCGAGTATTTGCAGAGCGGGCGACAATTCCTAGAGAAGGCGCAGCCCCACTCTTCCCTGTGGGAAAGCTCCAAGCAGAAAGTCAACTACCACAATCTTCTACTTGTGCGGGCGCCTCACCCTTTCCGACTCTAGACTACATTTCCCAGAAGTTCTTGCGGCTCTAATCAACTTCCAGGGAAAACCGGACTGCTTTTTTCTATTCCTCAAGGAACATAGGACTCCCTGGGATTGGCCGGGTCTGTGGAGGAAGCTTGTCTCCGGGGTGCAGGATCTGCCTATTGTGGAAGCCGCATTACGAGCCTGCGTCCGGATCTCAAAGACTCCAGGCAGCAATTCGGAGAGGGAGCAGGGCTGTGGACTTGGCCTAGTATATGCCATAGGGCGAAACCGGAGAGACGCGAGCCATCTTGACCCAACGGATCCCGGTCGGGACTACATTTCCCAGGAGGCCCCGCAGGAAGGGGGCCACTTCACTCGCCTGTGGAACCCTGGGCCTTACGAGAAGGTGGAGTGCAAGGTGAACGGCCTCTGTCTTGGGGGCTCGACTGGGCTCCTCAGGTGCGTCCCTGAAGGTTTGAAGGGTCGGGCCGGGAGGGTCTGGAGTCCCCGGCCTCTGTGAGTTGGTCGGACTGGGGAGAAGTGTGAGATTCCGTCTGTACGATTGAGTCCTTATGTGACAGTCCGGCGCTGTGTGTGGGTGTGTGATTGTATGCCCCGTGGTGGGTGTGTCTGGTTGTGATTATGGGCGGAGCTCTGTGTGCAGGTGGTACTGTGGATATCCTCGTTGTAGGTGTGTGATTGTGACTATAGGCGGCACTGTGTGTATAGGTGTGGCAGTGATTGTGTGTGTTCCTATAACTTTGTGTGACATTGTGTGTGTGTGTGTGTGTGTGGCGGGGAAGTGTAGAGATCTGTGATTATGTGGCTATGACTCATATCTGAGGGCTGCGTGTTTGTGACTGAGGTTGTTTGAATGTTAGCAGTACTAAGTGTACTGGATGTCTGTGACTGAGAGGTTGTGTGAGCATGATCATGTAACTGTGGCACTCTGTGTGCAGTTGGAGGGTGCCTGTAATTGTGCCAGAGTGACAGTGTGTTGATATGTGAGGTCAGGACAAATTTTGGTGTTGACAGCTGACTTTTCCTGTTGAGACACCTAGAATGCTCAGGATATCCTAGACTCCTCTAACCTCTCTTTGTGGGTGGTATGGGTCCAAAGCTCCCTCTAATCTGATGAGTCTGGGCCACAAGAAAACCTGGCATTTCTTGATTTCTTTCTCCTTCCTCAGCTCTGCTTCTCAGAGAGGTCCTCAGAAGAAGGAGGAATGGCTGTCGACCAAGCCAAATGCAAGGTGTGCTGGGCTTTCCTTTTTTGCTCTCTTTCACCTGGATGGTCTTGTTTAACATAGGCTCATTCAGAGTCCTCTTCCTACAAATTTCCAGTTAAGAAAATAATGGGAAGCCCTGGGGGTGGGCACACAGATCTCAGTATACACTCTCACTTGCTTCTACATAATGTTTGTATATTAATTTAGAAAATAGCTCAGTTACTTCTGTGTCCTAAGTTTTCCCTTTTTAAATGCATACACACACACACACACACACACACACACACAAAACATGATTATTTTAAAGAATTTGAAAAATAGAAAGTTACAGAGAGGATAGCCAGTCAATATTTTGAATTATTTCCTTCTAATAAGTTTTCTATGCATGTATAGTATACATTATTTCAGGATTGGGCTCTTACAGCATTTACCATTTCATAGCTTATGTTTTCACTAAAAGTTATCTATAGCTATTATATAGTTTCTTTTTCATTCTTTTTAAAAATTCCTTAGTATTGTATATATACATAAAAGTGCTTAAAATATAAGCATATAGTTTAAGAAATAACTATAAAGGGAAACTCAGTATAACAAAAACTTGCATCAACACTCCAGAAACCCCAGATGGTCCTAACCATTCTCTTCACCTCTCTAGGTAATCCTTATCCTGACTTTAAGATGGTAATTTTTTAAAAAATAGTTTAACCACACATTTACACATCCCTAAAAGATTTAGTTTAATTTTGACATTTAACTTTGTAGAAATGAAATTGTGCTGTGTAATGTTGTTTTGAGTCTTGCTTTTCTTACACAATACTATATTTCTCTAGAATCACTTCAGGTGTGAGTTGTAATATATAGCTGTAGTTTGGACACTGGTTTCCAGTTTTTGGCTCCCTTGAGAGGACTGCTCAGAACATACGTTTATAAGTATCTTGGTGCACATATTGATGCTTTCCTAGGGCATAAACATATCAATGGAATTGCTGGGCTTTACAGTATGTGTGTATCTTTAAATTTCCTAGATATTCCAAACTGATTTTCAATATGCTTGTACCAGTTAAATTGCTACCAGCAGTTTATAAACATAATCATTCTCTATTCTCTCTAATACTTGGTTACTTGGTGTGTGTTTTTTCTTTTTATTGATTTTAGAGAAAGAGGAAGGGAGAGGGAGGGAGAGAGAGATAGAAACATTGATGAGCCTGGCCAGTGTGGCTCAGTGGTTGAGCATCGACCCATGCACCAAGAGGCCACCGGTTTGATTCCTGATCAGGGCACATGCCCAGGTTGTAGGCTAGATCCCCAGTTGGGGGTATGCAGGAGATAGCCAAATGATGTTCTCGCTCATCCATTTTTCTATCTCTCTCTCCCTTCTTCTCTCTAAAATCGATATAGAAGAAATAAAAAAAAAAAAAGAAACATTGATGAGAGAGAACATCAACTGGCCACCTTCCTGCATGCCCCCACTAGGGATTTGGCCCTGTGCCCTGACCCGGAATTGAACCGGCGACCTCTTGGTACATGGGTCAATGCTCAACCACTGAGCCACACCAGCTGGGTGGTTACTTGGTGTTTTAATTTTGGTGAATCTGTAGGTATAATGGTATATCATATGGTTTTAAAAGTATAACATACATTCTCTAAAGTACAGAAATCAAAGTATATGTCTGATGAATTTTATAAAATGAGCATATTTATTTAACCAGAGTTCAAATTAGATTAGGAAATAGAACATTACCAGCAATCAAGAAATCTGATTCTTGTCCCATCTACTCACTACCCACCTTTCCCAAAGATAACCATTATTCTGTCTTCTGTGGCCATAGATTATTTTTACCTGTTCTTGAATTTTATATAAATAGAATCACACAATGTCTCCTCTTCTGTGCTTGACTTCTTTTGATCAATATTAAATTTCACATGGAGCATTAATGTACTGTATAATAATATATAGTATGAATATGTGAAATTCATCCATTTTGCTTTACCTAGTTGTAGCTCTTTTATTATTATTGTTTAAAATTCCCTTGTATGGCCCTGGCCAGTTTGGCTCAGCAGTTAGGTCGGCCTGTGGTCCAGAGAGACCCTGGTTTGGTTCCCGCTAAGGGCACGTACCTTGGTTGCAGTTTGTCCCTGGCCCTGGTTGGGGTTGTGTGGGTGGCAACCAGTCAGTGTGTCTCTCTCACATTGATATTTCTCTCTTCCTCCTGCTCTATTTGAAGATAAATGCAAAAATGTCCTCGGGTGAGGATAAAAAATAAATTAAAAAATAAAATTCCCTTGCATGAACATACCACATTTTTTAAAATTCATTATTAATTATTGATTGGCATTGGGGTTGTTTTCAGATTGGGGCTATTATGAACAAGACTGCTTTGCACATACTTGTGCATGTCTTTTGGTGCACATATGAATGCATTTCTATTGGGCATATCCCTAGGAGTAAAATTCTGTGTCATAGTTTAGGCATATATTCAGCTTTAATATATACTAACAGTTTTCCTAAATGGTTTTATCAATTTATACTCCTGACTTCATTGTATGAGAATAAACTGTATAACAAGAAGCTTTATTAGAGATAAAAAGCAACAGTTAATAATCTAAAGGTAAATCCACAAGCAAGATATTACAGTTCTAAATGTATATTTTTTCATAAAATGACTTAAAATATATTTGACAGAACTAAAATAAGTAGTAGACAAATCACAATCATAATGGGGGATTTTTAGCACTTTTCTCAAAAGCTGATAACACAATCAAAAACCCTGTAAAGTATATAATATTTGAACAATGTGATTGACGAAGTTGACAGTGTTCTTTACAACTACAGTATATATTATTTTCAGTTGCATATGAGGCATTTATCCAAATTGATCATATTCTGGACCATAAAGGGAATTTCAGTATATTTCCGAGGATTGAAATAATATTGTGTGTTTTCTGATTACAGTGGAATTCAGCTAGAAGTCAATAACAAAAACATTGTTAGAAATATTCCAATATTTCTTCCCTGGACTGTTTGGCTTAGCAATTAGAGCGTCGGCCCTCAGACCAAAGAGTCATGGGTTAGATTCCGGTCAAGCGTACATACCTCAGTTGTGGTTCGGTTCCTGGTCCTAGTCAGGGTCATGAGGGAGGCAACCGGTCAATATGTCTGTTTCTCATCAATGTGTGTGTCTCTCTTTCTCTCCCTCCCTTCCCCTCTGTCTGAAAATTAATAGAAAAATATCCTAAGTTGAGGATTAAAAAAGAAAATTCCAGTATTTGGGATTTAAACAATGTATTTATAAATTACTAGTGAATTAAAGAAGAAGTTGCAATGGAATTTAAAATATTTTGAAGTGAATGAAAATGAAAATATCAAAATGTGGAGTTAAAACTGAAGCTGAAGAAAATATGTAGCTATAAAAGCATATGCTAGTAAGAATGCTGAAAAATTAATGATCTATGTATTCATCTCAAGAAGTTAAGAAAATGTATATTGAAACCCAAAGAAAGCACACAATAAGAAATAATAAGAATAAGAACTCGACTATAAATTTATGTATATTAGAACATAAATTGAATATATAATTGCCCTGGCCAGTGTGGCTCAGTTGGTTGGAGCATTGTCCCATACATGGAAAAGTTGTGGGTTCGTTTCCTGCTCTGGGTGCATACCTAGGTTGTGGCTTCAGCCCCTGGTTGGGGTGAGGCAACTCATTGATGTTTCTCACATTGATGTTTTTTTCTCTCTCCCTTCCTCTCTCTAAAAAAATAATAAAATAAATTAAATGAATGTACAAAAGAGAAAATTAACAAAACCAAAGGTTTATTTGGGGGATTAATAAAATTGATAACCCCTTAGCAACATTTAAAGAAAAAAAGGAGCCCTGGCCAGTTAGGCTCAGTGGTTAGAGCATCAGCCTGCGGTCCGGAGAGACCCGGGTTCGGTTCCCACTAAGGGCACGTACTTTGGTTGCAGTTTGTCCCTGGCCCTGGTTGGTCGTGCGGGTGGCAGCCACTCGATGTGTCCCTTCACATCGATGTGTCCCTTCACATCGATGTTTCTCTCTCTCTCTCTCCCTCCCACTCTATCCGTACAAAAAATGGAAAAATATCCTCGGGTGAGGATAAAAAAAAAAAAAGAAAGAAAAAAAGGAGGTAGGACCCTAATTACCAAATCAGATTTGACAAAAACACAGATTAGCTTTAAGGCTGAGTTCTCAATTAATTCTTGTTTGGTACCTGGGACTTGGTGGCAAAATATAAGATTATTAGAACATGAACTGGTGATCATTATACTCAGTTCCTTTTTATACTTCATCAGACATGTAAATGTATTTTTTAATAAAGATTTTTAGTTTTTTTAAAATATGATTTTATTTTGATTTTTGAGAGAGAAAGGAAGGGAGAGAGAGAGATAGAAACATTGATGTGAGAGAGAGACATTGATCAGCCGCCTCCGGTAGGCCTCCACCGGGGATCGAGCCTGCAACCCGGGCATGTACCTTGACCAGGAATCAAACTGGAACCTCTCAGTCCATGGGATGATGCTCAATCCACTGAGCCACACCAGCTGGGCTTCATTGAATTTTTAGATAGAGTGAAAGGGAGGGAGGGAGAGAGAAAGAGAAACATCGATGTGAGAGAGACACATTGATTGGTTGACTCTTGCACAACTCGGACTGGAGCCAGGATTGAACCTGTAACCTAGGTACATGCCCTTGACCAGGAATTGAACCTGAGACTCTTAACTGCTGAGCCAAACTAGCCAGGGCGAGTTTCTTATATATTTTGGAGATTATCCTCTTATTGGATGTATCATTGGCAAATATCTTCTTTCATATAGTATGTTGTCTTTTCATTTTGTTGATGGTTTTCTTTTTTTTTTTTGTACGTGCCCCTAGCGGGAACTGAACCTGGGACTCTCTGGTCCGCAGGCCCACGCTCCAACCGCTGAGCCAAACCGGCCAGGGCTATTGATAGTTTTCTTTGCTGTGCAAAAACTTTTTTGTTTGATGAGTCTCATTTGATTATTTTTTGTTTTGTTTCTCTTGCCTGAGGAGACATATACAAAATATATTGTTACCAGCAATACCAAAGTTTTCTTCTCTTTTAGGAGTTTTACACTTTTCTGTCTTACACTTAAGTCATTTTAAGTTTATTTTTATTTATTAATTTTTTTAACTTTATTTTTTATTTAGTATTATTATTATTTTTTTTTTATCTTCACCCTAGGACACTTTCCCATTTTTTGTCAGCTAGAGTGGGAAGGAGAGGGAGAGAGAGAGAGAGAAACATTGACGTGAAAGGAACACATTGAGTGGCCGCCTCCTGCACAACCCAACCAGGGCTGGAGACAAACTGCAACCAAAGTACGTGCCCTTTGTGGAAACCAAACCCGGTCTCTCTGGACCATAGGCTGATGCTGTAACCGCTGAACCAAACCAGCCAGGGCAAGTTTATTTTAATTTTTATATTTTGTATATATTTGCCCAGTTTTCCCAACACTGTTTATGGGAGAAACTGGCTGTACCCTATTGTATATTTTTGCCTTTTTTGTCATAGGTTGGCATATAGGCATGAGTTTTTTTCTTGGTACTCTATTGTGTTTCATTCATCTAGGTTTTCTGTTTTTATGCCAGTACCATGCTGTTTTGATTACTATAGCCTTGTAGTATAATTTGATATCAGGTAGTATGATACCTCCAACTTTGTTCTTTTTTTCCCAATAATTCTTTGGCTATTTGAGGTCTTCTGTGGTTCCATATATATTTTAGGATTATTTGTTGTTATAGTTCTATAAACACTTCCATTGTTATGTTGATAAGGGATTACATTGAATATGTCGATTGCTTTGATAGACATTGTATCAATACTAATCCTCCTATCCATGAGCATGGTATATCCTATTTATTTGTATCTTCTTCAGTGTCTTCAGTGTCTTCAATGTCTTACAGTTTTCTGACTATAGAACTTTTACCTCCTTGTTTAAATTTATTCCTGGCATTTTATTATTTTGATGCAATTATAAATAGGATTGTGTTCTTGCATTCTCTTTTTGATAGTTTGTTATTGGTATATAAAAATACAATCAATTTCTGTTTTGCATGTATTTGTCCAGTTTTCCCAACACTATTTATGGAAGGAACTGGCTTTACCCTATTGTATATTCTTGCCTTCTTCATCATAGATTGACTATATAGGTGTGGGCTTTTTCTGGGCACTCTCTTCTTTTAAACCCAGCAGGACAGGCTGAATATCCCAGCCCTGCACATTTACCCTGTTCCTTGGAAGCCAGCAGGATGGTGCAGGCCACGCAGCTCAACAGGTTTGGGGGGACAAGCAATGACACTGCACTGAAGGTGGGAGTGACCGTCCCTCTTTCCCAAGCCACACAGTTTAGTTACTGACTTGTTCTCTGCCTAACGCCTTTCCAGAGAATAGAGGGACCCTCAAAATTACTGCTGGACGTAGCCAGCAGATCCCTCTGCTGGACCCGCGTACAGCAGTGTGGCCTCTCCAGTAGTTGGAATCTGGAATGAACTCCTCAGGCTGGTGCTGCAACATTGGGAGAACTCGTTCCTTGGGATGGTCCAATCCGAGCCTCCCAGGCAGACAGAATTCCCACTGATTCCCACTATTCATTGCTGCATAGGCTCCCCTTCCTCTCTCTGTTGCTCTGGGTTGGGATCTTTGCATGGGGATCTCCTAGGGTGAGGGAGTTTTGCAGCCATGATATTCTTCCAGCTTCTCAACTGTAGCATGGGGCCTCTTCCTTTCCATGTCTCTACCCCTCTCACCAGTTTCTACATGGCTTCTTCTGTGCTCTTTGGTTATATTTCAGATCAGCTATATTTCAATTGGTTTTTCAAGTTGATTGCTTTGTAATTTAGCTGTAAATCTGGTTTGGTGACTTGATACTGCAGCCATCTTTGAATCTCCCCGATTTTAATAGTTTTTGATAGCTCTCCTGCTTTCTGATAAAGCAGAATATTTAAACTCGTCTTTTAATTTCTGACTGAATCCTGAAATCACCTCTTTTCCCAAAGAGCCTTGGTTCCTTTTACTTACATTGCCCATCGCTGTCTAGGGTGCCTTTTTCCCTTAAAAAAAATTAAGTATAGTTGGTACACAATCTTATATTGGTTATATTAGTTTCATGTGTACAATGTAGTGATTCAACATTTTTATACTTTACCTTGTGTTCATCCCACTAACTTTAGTAATTATCTGTCACCATGTAAACTTATCACAATATTATTGACTATGTTCCCCTTCTACTTTTCACCCATTTCCCTACCACTTCACTTCTGGTAACCATCCTTTTGGCCTCTGTTTCTATGAGTCTATTTTTGCTTTCTTTCTTTCTTTGTTCTTAGATTCCACATATAAGTGAAACCTGTACTGCTTTTCTCTGCCTGACTTGTTTCAGTTAGCATAATACTGTATAGATCCATCCATGTTATTGCAAACTGTACGATTTTTCTTTTTTAGTGGTGTGTAATATTCCATATGTATGTATAGATACACATATATCACATCTTCTTTATCCATTCATCTCTCAGTGGAGGGTGTTCTCATATCTTGGCTATTGTAAATAATGCTGCAATGAACACGGGGGTGCATAAATTTTTAGAATTAGTGATCCCCAGCCTGTTCCTCATCTCTGCTCCTCTTAATAGTCTTGATGTGGCTTTTTTCTTTGAATCCCTAGTTGTAGGACTTTCATTCTGCTAGGTTTCAGGCAGTTTTGAATGATGGTTTTTCTGTAGTTTAGTTGTAGTTTTGATGTGGTTTGTTTGTTTTTTAATGTAAGATAAACTTATTACTCTTGCTTCTATTTCTGAGATCCAAAGATTCTGGTTCTCAGTGACTCCAGTATAATTGCTTATTTGCTTCACGCCACAATACAAGTGCAGTAGTCTGAAGCATTTCTTTTATTACACAAGTATACATGTTTATTGTTTCAGGAATCAGTGATGTTCAGGGATGTGGCTATAGATTTCTCTCAGGAGGAGTGGGAATGCCTGGACCCAGCTCAGAGGGACATGTACAGAGATGTAATGTTGGAGAACTACAGCAACCTGCTGTCAGTGGGTAAGGTCATCTGTACCAGTAATTTAGAGTTGTCTTCTGGAATGTCTATTTCTTCCACAGTGAATTTATCAGCTGCTTTTTGAGTTACCAGCTGAATTTCTGTTCCCTATTCCCAGATAAATGGTTAGAGCTGAAATGAAAAGGAAGAGTGGGAAATGGGAAGCTCCAATTGGCTATGGCTGAAGCTTCATCTTCTTTTTTCTTTGGCTGTTCCTGTAGTGGCATCTCTTTCTTGATCATCAAGGGACTGGATCTTACATACGGATCTCATTTACCCACAGCATAACCATGTTTCATATCTTTTCTTGTGAGCAGGACTTTACATACCTAAACCTCAAGTTATCTCCTTATTGGAACAAGGGAAAGAGCCCTGGATGGTTGGCAGAGAGCTGACAAGAGGCCTGTGTTCAGGTGAGTGAGAAATGGTTTAACAAAGAAGGGCATTACAGATAATAACTCAGCTGATCAGTGAAGAAACACCATCTTGGAGATGTCATCTTAGAACCTCCCATCAAAACATTAGGCCTGTGAGAAAAACTAAGTTCTTTTAGCACGAGTTTACAAATGACCTGTTTCATTTCTTCCCTCACTTACTACTCTTTCTCTTTTTTTTTTTTATACTCACCTGAGGACATTTTTCCATTTTTTGTTCAGATAGAGTGGGAGGAAGAAAGAGAGAGAAACATTGATATGAAAGGGACACATTGAGTGGTTGCCACCCGCACGACCCAACCAGGGCCGGAGACAAACTGCAACTGAGGTACGTCCCCTTATTGGGAACCGAACCTGGGTCTCTCTGGACCACGGGCCGACACTGTAACCGCTGAGCCGAACCGGCCAGGGCACTACTCTTTCTGTTTCATTCTTCAACACACCACTTAATTTCAAGTAAAAGGTGCCCTTCACTTACCCTCCAAAGAAAACTTTTATCCATATTTAACATTCAGTTCCTTGCAAGCCTTTCTTCCTCTTAGACTTATCTAAATGTTTTCTGTTACTACCCCAAAAATAAGATATGTGCATGTGTGCACACATGTATGTGTGTATCTGCATTGTTCCTCCCCTCCAAATAATGGTCTTCAGTATAGCTTCCGGCATTTGGGCTCTTCCCATTGTAGCCAGAACAGAATGAATAAAGAGGGAATTGTGTTAAAGGAGATCAGCAAGACTTCCAGTCAAGATGGTGGCGTAGGTAAAGGCGGTATCGCCTCCTCCCACAACCACATCAAAGTTACAACTAAAATACAGAACAACTATCATTCAAAACCTCCTGAAATCAAGCTGAATGGAAGTTCTACAACTATGGAATTAAAGAAGCAGCCAAATCAAGACTGGTAGGAGGGGTGGAGGCAGAGAGGCTGGTCCCACACCCACGTGTGGCGGATAAAAATTGGGAGGATACCTTGGCTGGGAAGGTCCTCCCTGAAGACTGAGGGGTCTCCATCCCACACCAGGTGCCCCGCTCTGGGTTCCAGTGCCAGGAAGAGAAGTCCCCATAACTTCTGGCTGGAAAAACCAGTGGGAATTGAGGCTCAGGGAGATTGAGGCAACTGAAACCCCAGGCAGCTCCTCTTAAAGGGCCCATGCATGGACTTATCGGACTCACTCCTTCTAAGCTTGGATGGGAGGCAGCTTGAGAGGCGCCAGAGACATACAGGGAAGAACTGAGCTGTTTGGCATTGGAGTGAGGGCTGGAGAAGGGGCTTTCTCCAGGACAAACGTGCTGTCACAGGCCTTTGTTCCTTTGGTGAGCCCTTCCCAGGGGCGGCAGACAGCCACCATATCTGGGACTCCAGCAACCTAGCTCACACTGGTTGTCCCACCCTGGTGATTCCCTGAGGCCCTGCCCCACCTAGCTTTCAGGCCCACCCAAGCTGTTGCCACTTGCTTAACCATAGGATTGGCTGGTCTTGGATCCTGCTTCAGGTTTTCCTAAATTCTTTCAAACAGCAGCATCTGGTCTCAGCTAGGCCTATACCTCTCATTAAGTAATACATAGAAACAAACACAGGGAGGCAGCCAAAATGAGGAGACAAAGAAACAGGTCCCAAATGAAAGAACAGAACAAAACCCCAAGAAAAAAACTAAGCGAATGGAGATAAACAACCTAACAGATGCTGAGTTCAAAATACTGCTTATAAGGATGCTCAGTGAACTTAGTGAGAACCTCAGTGAACTTAGTGAGGACCTCAAGAGCATAAAAAAGGAGCAGTCAGAAATGAAGTAAGCACAATCAGAAATGAAGGAGGCACTAACTGAAATAAAGAATAATTTACACAGCTTCAATAATAGAGTACGTAAATCCAAGGAGCAAACCATCGATTTGGAATATAAGGAAGCAAAAAACACCCAATCAGAACAGCAAAAAAAAAAAAGAATCAAAAAAAAAATGAGGAGAGTGTAAGGAGCCTCTGGGACAACTTCAAGCATGCCAACATTCGCATCTTGGGGGTACCAGAAGGAGAAGAGAGAGAACAAGAAATTGAAAACCTGTTTGAAACAATAATGGCAGAAAACTTCCCTAACTTGGTGAAGGAAACACATACAAGTCCAGGAAGCACAGAGTCCCAAACAAGATGAGCTCCAAGAGGCCCGCACCAAGACACATCATCATCAAAATGCAAAAGGTTCAAGACAAAGAGAGACTCTTAAAAGCAGCAAGAGAAAGGCAGCTAGTTACCTTGAGGGAGTTCCCATAAGGCTGTCAGCTGATTTCTCAAAAGAAACTTTGCAGGCCAGAAGGGAGTGGCAAGAAATATTCAGAGTGATGAAAAGCAAGAACCTACAACCAAGATTACTCTATCCTGCAAAGCTGTCATTTAGAATCAATGGCCATATAAAGAGTTTCCCAGACAAGAAAAAGTTAAAGGAGTTCATCACCACCAAACCATTATTATATGAAATGATGAAGGGTCTTTTTGAAGAAAAAGATAAAATATATGAACAAACAAAATGGCAATGAATACATACCTATTGACAATTGAATCTACAAACAAAATGAACAAGCAGAACAGAAACATTCTCATAGATATAGAGAAGGTTTTGTTGGTTGCCAGATGGGAGGGGGTTTGGGGGAATGGGTGAAAAAGGTGAAGGGATTAAGAAGTACAAATTCATTGCTAGACTGACAAACCTCAAAGGGAAGGGGGTTGGGGGATGGGAAGAAATAAACCAAAGAACTTATATGCATAACCAATGGACACAGGCAACAGTGTGGGAAAAGGTGGGAGGGAGATGGGAGGGGAGCAGGAGGGGGTCAATGGGGGAAAAATGAGGAACATGTGTAATACATTCAACAATAAAGATTTTTTTTTAAAAGATCAGCAAAGTAGCAGGATATAGGTGTTGGTGGGCTAGGTACAGGTGGGAGGAAGGGTGTACCTGCAGATATTTTTGGGATTTGTGGACCTACGTATGGACTTTGAATTCTATTCTGAATGAGGTAGGTGTAAAGCCATTTTGTTTGTATGAGATGACTTGAACAACGGAGTGAAACCAGTTTTTAAAGGATCACTCTGAGTTAGAGGTTGCTAATTTTGAATTTCTTTGTATAGAATTTAGGAAGTCCATGAACTTGGATGAGGAAAAAAAAAATAGGGCATCTTGCCTTGAGGGGTATGGCTCAGTCGTTTGGAGCGACATCCCATGCACCAAAAGGTTTTGGTTTCGATTGCTGGTCAGGGTATTTACCTAGGTTGTGGGTTGGGTCCCTGGTATGGTTGTGTACAGGAGGCAACCAATCAATGTATCTCTCTCACATCAATGTTTTTCTCTCTCTCCCTACCTCCCTGTAAAAAAAAAAAAAAAAAAAATGCATCTTTATGTTTAGTAACATCTAAGTGAAATTTAGCATTTCTTCCAGTTAACAGTGTGTGCAGAGCAAACCATAATAGTATTAGTTCCGTGACTTTGACAGTAATTGAAATCAACATATTGAATTGTTTGTTATGCTCATCACTATTTCATAACTACTGTAGTACTAGGCTCACTGCTAGGTCTTACTATGTAATGTGTTAATAAAGAAGAAAACTCTAGGAAAAGGGAAGGACCCCTGTGAAGGCCCTTCTAGGGAGGGGAAAGCTTGGTGCGTTTGAAGAACTGAAAGAGTCAGTATTGCTGGCCCCCATGAGCAAGCATGAGTGGAATATGAGTCAAGGTTGGAGAGACAGATGGAACCACATTATTCATCCTCTGCAGGTCATTATGAGGAGTATGGATTTTATGTAGTAGAAGGCCAAGCGAAATGTCATTTTGGCCACTGAATGGATTAAAGAGTGTGAAGCTTGGTGGGGTGACTGGGTTAGGAGGCTACTTTACTGGTCTGAGTAAGAGATTATTTTGGTTTGAAAGAGGGTATTGGCAGTGGAGATAGAAGAGGACAGTTTTTTTTATTTATTTTTATTTTTTATCCACACCCGAGGACATTTTTCCATTTTTTGTTCAGGTAGAGTGGGAGGGAGAGAGAGAGAGAGAGAAACATCGATGTGAAAGGAACACATCGAGTGGCTGCCACCCGCACAACCGACCAGGGCCGGGGACAAACTGCAGCCGAGGTACGCGCCCTTAGCAGGAACCGAACCCGGGTCTCTCAGGACCGCAGGCTGACGCTCTAACCGCTTAGCCAAACCGGCCAGGGCAAGAGGACAGTTTTAAAAGTTACTTTGGAGCTTAACTAGATGAATGTTGCTGAAAGATCATATAGAGGTAGGAGAAAAAAAAGATGAATTCTTCCATGATAATATTTGTCAAATAATGAATACTTTATTCAGAGATAATTACAAACATTTCCTCACCCTTCCAATAATCATGAGTTAATGATTATCTCCCTTTTAGAGACAAAGAAATAGGAATTTGGGAAGGTGAAATAATTGCCTAGGAACATATAATGAATAAGTATCAGAGTTGGGACTCAGCTCAATCTGCTTCTGGTTCCTATCATCTTTCCATTGCAGTATTTTGCATGTTCTCATTTTCCTTCTGTCTGCCTTAAACTTTATCTGCCACTCCTCACAGTCTTACAGTGGTACACGAGTGTCTCTCTTCTCTTAAAATCAGCATCACAAAATTCTCAGGCAAACAGTATTTTCACTTAATCCCTACCTAGCACATAACTGATTGAGTCTTCCCAGTCTGCCACTTCCATCAAAGTGGTTCAGCACCTTAGATTTAGCTCAGGCTACTCCCCTCTGTGGCTTACCCCCTCTGTAATCTTTTTCGTATTTCATCCAATATATCCTTTACAAAGGAGCCTATTCTGTTTCTGCCCCCACTGAGGATGCTGCAGTTTAATTCTGACACTAACTACCCAGAGTTGGCATAGACCCCACAGGTTAACAGCAAAATCCTCCACAATGCTGCCCTTTGGATGCTAGCTGCAAGTCTCATGGGGTCTTCAGACCACCGACACCTTGACCAACTGGCTATAAAGTTGGGGGTTTCCATGACCCCTGCAGGTTCAATGATTTGCTAGAATGACTCTCAGAACTCAGGAAAGCTCTGTACTTACAATTATAGTTTTACTATAAAGGATACATACTAGGCTGAGGTCCAGTAGGCTTACAAATGCAGAGGTTCGGTACCCTCTCACTGTTGAGTCAAGGTGTATTACCCTTTTGGCATTTCAGTATGTTTCCAACTAGAAAGCTCCAATGAGCTTTAATGTCTAGAGTTTTTATTGTGATTTAATTACATTGACATGATTAATTGAGTTATTGGCCACTCAGTTTCTGGCCCCTCTTTTCTTTCCAGAGGTCAAGTAGAGTCCCAGACCTCTAATCATATGCTTAGTCTTTCTGGTGACCAGTGTCTATCCCAGAACTATCTAGGGACCCATTGTGTTTGACCTCATTAGCATAACAAAAACACTCCTGTTATTCAGGAAATTCCCAGAGTTTTGAAGCTCTAAGGTAGGAACCAAGTACAAAGACCAATTTATTTATTTGTTTTTTTTGGTTTATTCCTCACCCAAGGACATTTTTTTGCATTTATCTTCAGATAGAGCAGGAGGGAGAGAGGGAGGAAGAGAGAGAGAGAAACGTCAATGTGAGAGAGACACATTAAGTGGTTGCCACCCACATGACCCCAACTGAGGCTGGGGACAAACCACAACCGAGGTACATGCCCTTAGTGGGAACTGAACCTGGGACTCTGGTCTAGAGGCCAATGCTCTAACGGTTGAGCCAAACCAGCCAGGGCCCGAATTTATTTTTTATTATATCAAGAGCCCAAGAATCTTCCCCCATATTTACCATTTTCTTTTCTTTCAGATCTGGAGTCAATGTGTGAAACCAAGTTATTATCTCTAAAGAAGGAAGTTTATGAAATAGAATCATGCCAGAGGGAATTAATGGGACTTACAAAGTATGGCCTTGAGTACTCCAGTTATAGAGATGTTTTGGAATATGGAAGCCACCTTGAAAGACAACTGGGATATCAAAATGGGCATTTCAGCCAAGAAATATTTACTCATGGATACATGCCCACATTTATTCAACAGACATTCTTTACTCTACATCAAATAATTAATAATGAAGAGAAACCCTATGAATGTAAGAAATGTGGAAAAGTCTTTAGTCAGAATTCACAATTTATTCAACATCAGAGAATTCATAATGGTGAAAAATCATATGAATGTAAGGAGTGTGGGAAATTCTTTAGTTGTGGCTCACATGTTACTCGACATCTGAAAATTCATACTGGTGAAAAACCTTTTGAATGTAATGAATGTGGAAAGGCCTTCAGTTGCAGTTCATACCTTTCTCAACATCAGAGAATTCATACTGGTAAGAAACCCTATGAATGTAAGGAATGTGGAAAAGCCTTTAGTTATTGCTCAAATCTTATTGACCATCAGAGAATTCACACTGGTGAAAAACCCTATGAATGTAAAGTATGTAGGAAAGCCTTTACTAAGAGCTCACAACTTTTTCAACATGCAAGAATTCATACAGGTGAGAAACCCTATGAATGTAAAGAATGTGGCAAAGCTTTTACTCAGAGCTCAAAGCTTGTTCAGCATCAGAGAATTCATACTGGTGAAAAACCCTACGAGTGCAAGGAATGTGGCAAAGCCTTCAGTAGTGGCTCAGCACTTACTAATCATCAGAGAATTCACACGGGGGAGAAACCGTATGATTGTAAGGAATGTGGCAAGGCTTTTACTCAGAGCTCACAACTTCGACAACATCAGAGAATTCATGCTGGTGAGAAACCCTTTGAATGTCTTGAATGTGGGAAAGCCTTTACTCAAAACTCACAACTTTTTCAACATCAGAGAATTCATACAGATGAAAAACCTTATGAATGTAATGAATGTGGAAAGGCTTTTAATAAATGCTCAAACCTTACTCGACATCTGAGAATTCATACTGGTGAAAAGCCCTATAACTGTAGGGAATGTGGGAAGGCATTTAGTAGTGGTTCAGATCTTATTCGTCATCAGGGAATTCATAATGATGAATAAACGTTAAAGCTCTTGTCACCTTCCTAGTATTTTACACAAAAAATAATAATGTTGGAGAGTTATCCTCTTTGACTATTTTTGTTTCTTATAAATCCAAACATTTCATTCTATGTTATGAATTCAGATTCAAAATTGGCATTTACCCACCCCTCCCCAATATTATACTAATGGCAGATGTTCACTAATTCTTTCCTATCATTATTTTGTTCCAACTTTTTGGTGTTCATGTTATATTATTCTTTATATTTGCTTGTGTTTCAGGGCTATATTTTATTTTCAGATTTACATATTTGTGCTTAAATTGTGTGATCTTGTATTTTTTAATTCTTTGTACAAATGTACTTTGATTTTGAAGTCAGTGTTAATCATTTTGTTTCACAAATTTTTATTTTCTTATAAAACAGAAAACCAGAAACTAAAAAGCCTATATTAATTATAATCATAGTAAGTATAGATGACTACTCTCAAGTTGGTAGAACACATCCTACCATACTTTGTTTTTAAAGCAAGTGTAGTCATGTATGCATATTGTACCTTCACCTGCTCTAATCATGCCACAAAAATATGATTGCCATATCAGTAAATGTAGATTTTTATTTTTAATTACTTTTAAAAATGACTATTATTCATGTCATGGTTGCATCTAAATGTTCACAGTTACAAAATCTGCCCTGGTTAGTATGACCTAAAATTTATCTTTGGATTCTTATTTCTTTTAAAACATGTATTTTAATTGCTAAAATTATCCACATCTTCTCCTTATAAACGCTTATGTTCCTTTTATCAATCCCAATCCCAACCTCATACTAGAAAGGTTTTTAACTACTATTATCAAAGTGTTACCTATCCTTCCAGATATTTTTTTACTTCCTGCTTAAAGGTGTTAGTGGCATTTTACTTCATATGTTTTATTTCATGTATACTAAATATAATTATGCTCTATGTATTGGTTTGTTGTGAGGAGTAAATGAATGAATACATTTACAGTATTAACTATTTTTATCACATACTAAATACTTAGTAAAAGTTATCCATTATTATCATTGATATATGAATTTTCATAATTATCTTTCTTATTATTTGTGGGAAGGATTATAACCATGTTGTTTATCTTTGTATAAATCAAAGAATGTGTAATGAAAAAGAGAAATGAGTGTAATGTGTATAGGATAGCTTCTCTCATTCATTATTCAGCATGGATTTTTAAAAAGAAAAGAAAAAGTCTATATAAGGAGTCTTAATTCAGACTTCATTTTTTATAGTGCACAGAAATAAATACAAATCTTAACCCTGTGGATATAATGATGGGTAGTTGAAAGCACAGCTGTTAAAGTAGGAAGAGGTCGGAATATTTTTCTAATAATTAGTTCTCCTGAAAGGAAAAAATATAGAGGCCAAATTATTTGACCAGAGTGACAGTAAGATGGCCATCAAATATCTGAATATTAATTCAGTGCCTCCTTTGATCAACATTGGTTAAGGAACTAAATCCTTAATATAAACTTTATTTAAATGTGAATGAAAATGAGAACACAATTGAAAAACCTGTGAATGTCATGTTGGAAATTTTATAACCAGTGTGCATACATATATTAAAATATTAGAAAGATCATTAATAAATGTAATCAATATAGAACCCAAGGAGCTAAAACAAACAGCTAAAAATCTAAAACACAGGGTAGAGAAAGGCATTATTAGTTATAAAATTCAGAAATAAGTGAAAGAAAAAAGTAAGTAATCTAAAATAGAAAATTTTATGATTTGACTGAAAAAACAGACAAACTTTATTGATTTATGTGGGGAAGTAAGGATGACAAGCAGCTTTGTGAATGAGAAGTTAAATGACAACACTTAAATTTAAAAGGACTAGATCATTTTTGGCGATGAAATGTTCTGGGATTAGTGGTGTAGGTTGCATAACTGAATATACTAAAAGTCACTGACCAGTATACTTTAAAAGGGTGATTATAATGATATATGAATTTTATTTCAATTAAAAAACTTAAAAGTTAATACTGTAGACGTTTTAATAATATCTCTGGAGATCTGGACACAGTATGTGATTTTTATAAAGAAATTAAATTGACAATTGTAAAATACTTCCCTCCAAAAGGAGCGTTTTAAAATTAGACCAAAATATAGTTAAATGCCACAGAGCTGCTAAGAAGACATCAAACTAGCTATATTTATAGGTAAAATCTATGAAATGTTTTAGGAACTCTTCCAGGATACAGACTGAGATATGAGATAGCAAGTTATCTATTTTTATGAATTTATCATAATTCTAATATTAAAACTATCTAGGAGAACACAAATATAATACAGTTGACCTTTGAACAACACAGGTTTGAACTGAATGGGTTCATATACACAGATTTTTTTTTTTTTTTTTAACAATAAATACAGTCAGTGCTTTGTATCCACAGTTTTGAATCTGCAGATTGACCAACTATGGCTTGAAAACAGTATTTTTGCATTTCTAACCATGGACTCCCAACAGTTTGGGAATTCCCAGATTTTTGATCCATAGTTGGTTGAATCCACAGATGTTAAGGGCCAACTGTAGTTGAGTTTGGGGTCAGTTAAAAATTATATGCAGATTTCTGACTGCTGGAAGGTGGGGGCCTCTAATCCCAGCCTTGTTTAATAGTCAGCTGTATATCCAGAATCAGTTATGAAAATGTGATGTTATAAATTATCATATAAATCTAGTAATCAATTGAAAGAAAAATATTTTTCACAATCTGAATTTAGGAACAACATATTTCTGCTAAATACTTATTCAAATTTGCTATTCACTTTCTGAAACTTAGAAATCAAATATTTAGGTAACAGTATTCTTTAGTATCTGAACTCAGAAACCAAATAGATTTTGAAGGCAGGGTTTCTTGGAATACAACACAAGATAATTCACAAGGAATTTCTAAAGTTCAAATAACTAAAGCACTACAAATGAAAATATATTATCAAGCCCTAATATGTTCTAGATGCAGCCTTCTTTTTTCTTAATAGTATTTGATAGAATGGGATATACTTAATAAATAAATTTGAGTTATCCTATCTGCTGCAATATCACTGCACTTACCCTGTCTACTCATTTGAAGAGCCTTTAAAACATAGGCAATAAATCCAGTCATTACCATGCAATTTTTAAAACTTTTATTTTTTTAAAGCTACACTTCTTTTCTGGTTTTGACTTCAAACAAAACATTCAAGATGCTGCAGGTATTTGATTGTATAGAGCTAATATTTCCCCAGAAGAGCCCAGCCAGTGTGCCTCACTGGTTGAGTGTTGACCCACACACCAAGAGGTCACTGGTTTGATTTCTGATCAGGGCACATGCCCAAGTTGTGGGCCAAATCCCCAGTGGGGACATGCAGGAGGAGGCCAATTGATGTTTTCTCTCATCAATGTTTCTATCTCCCTCTCCTTCTCCCTTCCTCTCTGTCTAAAATCAATAAAGAAAAAAAATTTGTTTTAAAGATTTAATATTTCCCCAGAAGATAGAAACAGCTGAATTATAAATAGCCTCTTTAGATTTTTTAGTAAACTACTTTAGATAAATTATATTCATACAGAGAAGTGCACAAATCCGACATATGAAGCACATTAAATATTTGCAGATTGAACAAACCATGGTAACTAGCTCTTGGATCAATAAAGGTAGTATTGCCTTTAGTATGAGAGTGTAGTGCCAAGGAGGTTATTAAAACAAGAACAGAACTTTACCTTTTATTACAATTAGAATGTAGAAGAATATGAAAGGTCTTTATTTCCATGATAGCATAAAAAATCTTGACAAGATAAAAATCATACTTTCCTTTGGGGCTAAGAGTAGTGGAGGCAAGGAAGACTTGAACTGAATTTCTGATAGAAATAAGCCCTTTAGAGATGAACAGATTGCTGTGTGACCTTCCATACCTGGGTGCAGTGCATAGTGTGGGCAGGAGTTTGGGTATGGTATAGGTGGATGAAGAAGTAGGCCTGAGAGATGAAGAAACTTTGCAGAGATAGAGAAATTAGAGCCTAAAATGAAATTTACGAGTTTCTAAATGGATTAGAATTTGGAAGTGCTTCAAAAGCTATCAATCAACTTTAACTTAGTAGGACTCTCTACTACAGAATACACTTGGCTTTTATAGAAAACACTATGGCCCTGGCTGGTTTGGCTCAGCGGTAAGAGTGTCGACCTGCAGTCCAGAGAGACCCGGGTTTGGTTCCCGCTAAGGGCACGTACCTCGGTTGCAGTTTGTCCCCAGCCCTGGTTGGGTTGTGTGGGTGGCAACGACTCGATGTGTCTCTCTCATCGATGTTTCCCTCCCTCTCTATCTGAACAAAAAATGGAAAAATGTCCTCAGGTGAGGATTAAAAAAAAACACTATGATAGACCACATGTTGGGTCATAAAACTAGAGTCAATAACCAGCAAAGACTAACATCCACAGATTATGTTCTTTAACACAAACTAAGTAGAGCTCAATGATTCAAGCTATATTGAAAATCCTGCTTTCTTTCAGAGACTTGTTAGTCTTAGCTTGAGGCAAATGATTCACCTAGAATTAATTTTTCTGTGTATGATATGAAGTATAGATTGAGGTTTGTTTTTTCTCCTCACATAGATATTTAGTTGTTCTTTCACTTTTTGTTCAAAAAAGACTGTAATGTCCTAAATTGAGTTGCTTTGGCACATTTATAATCAAATGACCACAAATGTATACCTTTATATTAGCAATATAAAATTGTGAAATGAGAAAAAAATACTTTTTATATTATTATCAAAAAACATAAAATACTTAGGAGTAATTTTAGTAATAGATAGGAAAGGTGTTTACATGGAAAACTATAAAATGTTTTTTTATTTATTTTTAATCCTCACCTGAGGATATTTCTCTATCTTCAGACAGAGTGGGAGGGAGAGAGAAACATCGACAGAGAGGGACACAACTAGTTGCCTCCGACACAACCCCACCCAGGGTCGGGGATGAAACGAGGTACGTACCCGTGGCTGGAATCAAACCCGAAACTCATTGGTCCACAGGCTGACACTGTACTACTGAGCCAAATTGGCCAGGATATTAGACAAGATCTTTAAAAATGGGAAGAGTGAAAAATGGTGGCGGAGTGAATGGAAGCTAGACAGACAATTTCCCAGGACCAAACTGGAATTACAATGAAAATAAAGACAAATCATCAGGAAGGGGCAACCGAAAGGCAGTTTGGAGGACCACATAACCAGGGACACTG